ATCGTCTCTTATAATTTTATTTTTAATTGGCGTCGTAGAAATATCGTTTCACAATTTTAATGGTGTATCATTTAAAGTGGACCGTGCTCCTCTTGGAAGATTTATCGACGATTTAAGTCGGTTTCTTGGAATATCGTGTGCGCATCGTGGTCAGTGGCGCGACAACAACTTTATTTTATGATCACCAACAGCATCTTTTTTTTTTTTTCGATAAAAGAAGCCTCAATTTATGACCTATAAATAATTAAAGTCCATTTGCGGTTTATTAGAGGACAGTAAAATTCGCCATTAAACCGTAATAGATTAACAATAATAGTTAACACACTCTTGGCTTATAACGCAATGCCAATAATAATTATAATTTTTGTATTAATTATATCTTATATTATTATAAATATCACGTGTTAATTGCCCATTAAACCTAAAGAAAAAATAATTTTCTTGAAACATAAACCCAAAAAGGAAATTTTCTCTTAGGTACCTCTACTACAACACAGCTTATTATTTTTCAGTTTTTAGATAGGTACCCAAAACAAGTTGTTTACGTAATAGGGTCGCTATAAAAGCGCTAATTAAATTCTACCAAACACGTTCTTGTTAATTATCTTCTTAAATATCTGTGGAGACTTTAAAATTAAATTTATAGGTATTGTTCCGGCCGCGCTATAAAAATTCAACCTAGATCTAAAGTTCTTCATTATCTAGGTACAAAACATGATGCTAAGGTCATTATTATAGGATGAGCAGATTTTTAATTTTATAAGCGAGGACACGTGCTTTAATCTTTGTAAATTGTATGTCTGTGTATTTTTAATTGTACTTACATATTAATTGGCGGTTGAGTGCCGAAGAAAACAAAAGTGCTTTGTCTACCAGAACATTATTCAAAAGGTGTTTATTGTTTATGCAATAATCGTTTATTAGAGCATCAAATCATTTGGTTGTAAATTTGAGATGATTTTACTGAAAGTGCTCCAAATTTACCAACTCTACGAAGTTTGGAAGTGCAGTGTGAGCCTAAAAAGTGGGACACCCATTTTTTCCTATTGTAAAACGAGCTCATCAGCTATACCTACTGCAATGACTAGGATTGTCAAATTTGACAAAAAATCCATTGTAGAGAAAATACTGATTTACCCAAAATAGCGAAGAATGACAAGACCTGTCAGTCGGGTGTCCCACTTTTTATGCTCACGACTGTACCTATAATACACCCGCCATATTTACTACGGAAATAATAGGTATTTATGTACCAAGGGGACATGCAGATTATAATTCCCGAAGGCGAAACTAGCCCGAGGGCCTCTGGCCCGAGGGTTATATTTCGAACACGATGTTCTTTCATCAATTTAGTATATCAAACAAAATTAGTTAAACTTATGTGACATACCTGTACCTGTGACCTGTACCTAGAAACGAAATACGTGTAAACATCTCATAAGGCAAGGCTAAGGTGGTCGTGTGGGTTAACGCACTTGACCACATGGGAAAATCAGCGAAAAATTTTACAGACATCAAGTTCAAGGCTCCCTTCTAACACGCAGAATGCCTGCAACGAGATATGATCCAGACAACCCCATAGTTCACGGTCCACCATACAAGAATTTACCAATCTATTTTCAACCCCCATGAACACCTCCCTATCCCAACCTGCTACTCACACACCCAAATAAAAAACCCTCTCCAATGCACAGCTAAAATCTTAACGTCAAGACAAAATTAGACAAGAAAGTTTGGCGCTGGCGCCAATAGCCTTAGTCTGAAGCAGGAGATTCTGACAATCCCATCAAGGTCTAATTTCCACCCTTAGTTCTTCGGAAAATTACAACTAGTTAGCGATTTAGTGTGCGACAAACTCCTCTCTTGCTGACTATGAGAAAACCACTTTTGTCTAATTGAACATCAGGCACCCCAATCTGACTAACAAACATAAAGGCACAAATTGCCCAATTTAGCTGAAAAACGCAAGTCCCAATCCCGGTAAATTCTTGCACCCAATCCTCATTCTCTGACATCCCTTACAAACCTCCCCACCTGCACCCAAACCATTACCTAGAGACTCATCAGGTCTCAGAATTGGTCAGGGTACAGGGCTGTCGAACCCATTCAATCCGTACCCGCGCTCACGCGCACATACCCTAAGCTCACAATTGCTAGTGAGGACGCGTCCAGTGAACCCGATCGCCCAAGGGCACAACATTTTTGTTTTTTCTTTTATAATCTAAGTTAATGAAAAGTGGGGTTTTTCAAAGCTTTTCCCCACAAAACGAGCGCTGCGCGCTCTGCAACTCCAAATCCGAGCATTTCACCCTTATTCTCAAGAAAGGCCAGTGTATTCACCAGCGACTTCAAGATCAAACAATCGACGTTAAAGGGTAACAACAAAAACACCTCAGGGTATTATAAGCTGGCGTTATGGATCATAATGCCCTCAGGTTGTTATAGGTATGTTAACGTATTTCGTTTCCTAGGTATTATGGATCTATAATAGTTAAGTAGAAAATAAAATAACATGACTGACATCTACTGTCAAATTACGAAACTTTCGTTTTTTTTAAAAAGATGAGAGTTTTGATTGTTGTTAATTCGAGGGTTATTTCTTACAAAAATTAATGATTTTCTTTGAAAAAGTTTGAAGAGAAAGTGGCTATGTTCCGATATCAACTATCAGTACTAGATTTACTGTGCTGATTTGACTGTAATTTGCCGTTCCGGTTTCATCAGCGTACACTTGTGGTCATTCAGTACTGAATCGACTGAATCCAGTGTACTGAAAATAATATCGACACGGCAGTAAATTCAGTACTGACAGTTGATATCGGAACTTAACCAGTATAGTCTCCTACTCACAAATAATAGCTATTATTAAACTCTGTCTAACCAAAGTTGAACGTTGAAGGTCACTCACTCGAATATATCGCAGACGTTGCTTTTTGCTGCTGTCTTTATTGCACGCGCACTGTGTTTATCAAACCAAAATAGGTCCGAACATGTGAATCCTATGGTTACAAGGATGAGTAAGTGACCTTCAACGTTCAACTTTGGTTAGATAGAGTTTATCATTATATGCTCGTTGAAGAATATACTATACTATGTAGTATAACATACCCGGGTTCGTTCAGTAAGATTGAACGATGAGAATTTTTATTACCTGTTAAACAGCAAATCTTCTGAAAAACGAAATGAAAAATAAATAGGACCTACGTTGTGGAAACTTACTCAATTTTATTTACTGGACATGCGCCCGACATAGCAAATATTTGGGAAATTTGAGGGAGGTTGTGATAGGTAAAAGAAACGAAAAATTTGTGAAACGTCTACTTTATTATTAAAGTAAATCGTACCGTTCTCATTCTGGAACTAACGAGGGGAAAGAGCACGGCAGAGAAACCCTCGATCTACATTCCTCAAAAATCGAAACATACTGTGTCATTTAAATAATAATTGTGTCAATAATTCAATAATTTAAGTCAATAAAAGTTTAAATTAGGTACCGCACCTGTTCTTGTGCTAAAATTTCAATTACACACACTGCATTCAATCAACACTACCTATAATCAATACTGAAGAGTTTTTGGTTAGTTAGCCGGTCGGCCGCAAGGTAATGAGGTCCCATACGGGATGCTACCCAGCTATAGTTGTTTTTGAGCCAATATCTCTAGATTGATTATTTCAATTTGTTAGGATATTCTCTCATCAGGGTAGGAAAATGTTAGTAAATTCAACAAGGCCATAAATACACGCTCTGAATACACAAAAATCAAAATTCCAGCACAAAAAGACAGCCCATAATTTCTCAGGAATTAATTTACTCTTTATCTGTGTTGTTTACAGCATGAAACGATTTTGGTTAAATACATAAACAATGCACGTTATAAAAAATGTTATAAACAAACAAAAAAAAACATAAAAACGAAAAAATGAGACTTGTATAAATAATTGAACCCTCTGTTTAATATTGTATTTATAGAATGCTTTGGCCACTACCCGCAGGTTGGTGGCATATATCAATCAATATAGACTTGTCAGAAAGTAATAAAAATTTGTCACAATTTAAAAAATTCTATTCCTCAATTTAAGTCCATTCAAGTCGTCCTATCATTATTTCTCTTCCAATCCATCCAGAACAAAATCAATTGAACCAGTATCAAGTTGAACATAAACACCCTCAACAACAAAATAACAATTATTCAACTGACCTGTAATGGCTCGTTGACACACACACTAATAACAAATTGGATTGAACAATCAATTTAATGCAAAATGAAAATGAAAATTGAATAATGAATAATTACAGACCCGCGTCTAGGAGAGCAGGACCGCTTGTTCTCCAGTCTAGTTGCGTATTCTCTATCCACCCTCCGCTCCGTACCTTCGTTTTCTGTGGCGCGCCCCGTTCAATCCTAAATTTGATTGCGCAGACATGGTTGCAACATTTACTTTTATTCAGTAAAACTTTTTTTAAAAAGATAAGATTCAAAGAAATAATATTTTAAATAGGTGGTTTTCCTCAACTAAATATATAGCTCTCTGAAATGAAAAGTATATTATTTCATGTCACCGAATTCATGCAAAATTAATGGAAATTGATGAATGTATGTTATCTTCCTGACTAAGAAAAAAAATTACATATTTGCAAATTATGCAAATGATTTATCAAAAACAGATAAACCTAATTCTCCTAATGAGCGTCCAATCAATGTCATTTTTTATCCAATTTTTCAAAAGAAGCACTATAGCTCTGATGTTAAAAATTAAGAGTTGTTCTCATGATAAAAACAAGATATTGGGTCCAAAATTGTAATGCAAGTGTGAAACTTTTAATTATAAATCAATTAGAAACAAAGATTTGGACATTAATTTTCAAATTTATTTTATGTCAACGCCTAATTAGGTTTCCTGCATATATTTCAATAAAATTTATTTGCAAAATTTCTAATAATTTTGCATAATAATTAAATTTTTGTGTTTGAATACTAATAAATCAATTTTTTTTCCAGATGAATCAAACATGCAAAGTCTGCGGAGAACCGGCTGCAGGTTTCCATTTTGGTGCCTTTACATGTGAAGGATGCAAGGTAATTACAATTTATAGGTTTAAAAAAAAACTGAATCACACTTCATGGTACCATTGCATCAAATGTAAATTTTTCACTAATTCATCAAATAATGGTACTGTCCGCCCAACGAACCATGAATCCATTTGACCGAATTTTCACGCTCCAGAGCGTCGGAAATTGAAAATGACGAGCCGTTGTTATGTAATCGTTAGGCATTACAAGCCAGGGTTTCGATTCTTGAATTCGTTTGTGAAAAAAATATAGAGTTTGGGTCTTCTTCTCTATTTTTTCGGGCAACTTTTTGATACTTATTGTATTTTAGTGAGGATTTTGAACCAATTCACCCATATTGGAGCCTTGAATTGCAAACTCTGACCCACCAGAATTGCCAACAGTTTGAAAAACAAGCAGTATAAAGCACAATAATTCTATATTTTCTATTGATATTTGTGAAATAATTTCTATCAGTACCTATCAGGAATATGTCCCCATGCGTGCCACAGTGGCGCTCCAATCTGCTCCGGAATCAACTAGAGCGTGTAAATGATGAGAGAACGGATTACGTAAGACCGGAAGCGGTCGGTTTTCAATCGGATTTTACACTCTGTCGGATCTGGTTGAATATTTTGAATACATAAGGCAATTTGAACACGCGCCATTCAGACAATAATGAAGGTGTGTATGTATGCTGATTTAACTGAAGTTTATTTTATTTGAATATGCATATACTGGGGCCCCTAAATTAGTATTCTAACTTCAATTAAATTTACTTTTTGATAAAGGTATCTATGAATGTCCACGCTATCATGAGTTTCGGTAACTCATGTTCAACATTATCCGCCCCATAGCTCCTTATGTATGTCGACATTGTTCTTTTTCGATGCTCAAACCTGCCAAACATCTATATCATCCTATTCATTCCAATGCTCTTGCCAACTTACTAGTTATCATCTAATGCTCTAGAACTGTTAAAAATGAACACAATGTCGTCGGTGAACCTTTGATGGTCGCTCATCCAGGTTTGTTTCTTAAATACATGCTCCATAACGTGTGTGAAAAGCTCCACTGTTATCACATCTCCCTTATTGACTCTCCTTCTAATTGAAGTACTGTCAAAGTGGCATTTTTGTAGATTTCATCATGGATATGTTCATGATGATGATGATCATACAAGTCTCATTTCTATTTTCGCTTCGATATTTTCTTGCTTACTCCTAGAAGATGTTCGTTTTTTCTATCGTCGATGTTCTTTCATGTACATATTTTTTCAGTGAGTTTCGAAATTCGCTTCCACGCAGTTTTGAGCATGCTTCACCATTACGTCGAACAACTTTTTCCATTCGAACTTGACCCTGGGTTTGATTTGAGCTCCCTATGATCACTGTCCAAGGTGAATGTGTAGATAATTGAGATGTTGTTATTCAGGGTGCACATCTTTTGGTTTTCCACCGGACTCGGTTTTTGACGAAGCTTCCACAAAATCGCATCGGAAATTTTTAGGTCTTCTTCCTCCTCAGTTGTCAGTTCTCATTCCGTCTGGTGATAAGTATCCAGATCCATTTTCTGTTGGATCTTTATTTAAAGAAACTGTCACCTACCTTTCTTGCTTCCATGACGATGTAGAATCACTTTTAACAAGTGATCCAGGGTTTCAATTTGACAATCATTTCTTCGATTCCATCAAATTATCATAACATAGGTACGGTAAATCATGGAGCTCAAACTCAAATACCAATCATGTTGATGTGCTTCATTTTTTAAGATCTATAGATAGTTTGTACCAAAAACTTGAATGTCCCTAAATATTTATATTTTTCGAAGCTAATAACGATGTCTTTTTGAGTCATTCTGAAAATAAATTTAAAAACTCCTTACCCTAATGAATCTGTATATTTTATAAATTATTATGTTTTGGTCATTTCAGTAATAAACCTTTACTTTATCAATATGTCGCCACTTTCCATATTAGACCATCTCTATTTGCTATAAGCTAAACGTCGAATTAAAATGTCTCCGCTACCTGAGTATTTATTGCACTTAATAGAGCATTAAATAACAATGCATTGTTCTTCTAATTTGTCATTCTTCGTATGTAGACCGACCGATTGTTGCGTGAGCACGCGCTTTTTGCATAACATCGTCGGTCGGCCGGGGCCCCGATAACAATAACAATCGGAAAACGCAATTTCGATTTTTAGCAATCGACTAATGGATTGTCGTAGTCCTTTATTGCGACAACTGAATTGGTATTAACCGGGTTAGCGGGTCGCACAGGTTAAAGACGGTTTACCAATATACACAATCGTATTATTATTCGGTTTCGGAATTGGCATCTGAGTATTTTTTGCCCATAGAGTTCATGGTCCAGTGTAGACCCTGAAGCGAAACGCGTCCAAATTTTACAACCGAGTGGGTAGATTGAGCAGCAGCAGCAGTAGCATTGTTTCGGCGTGTATTTGGATTTGCATAATATCAGTAACCTCCCTGTTTTGAATATAATTGCAGGCGATTAGTCAACAATTATACAGTTGGCCGGTGGACCGCAGGAAAGTGTTAGAGTACCTTGCGCAACTTCCGACCTGCTAATCTGGTTAGGCAATTCGGCGCGACCACACACCCCCATTAACCAAATTTTAATTGATTAAGATGAAGAACTTGAAACCAGGCAAACCCAAACTCAACTCCTCTATAAACTATAATACTTTGCAAGTCGCTGCAACATATATCAAAGAATATCTCAGACAGTATATGAATATTGTCACAACCTCTCAGTGACGGGAGGTGTAGAGAAACTTGCTCAGATTATCATAAAAATATGTATGTTTGCTATGACGTTATTACATAAATCCTCCAGGATGCATGCTCTTCCGTGGATAGGGCCACATGTTTGATTTAGGAATATCGGTTTAATGCTAATGTTACATTGAATGCTAACCGATGTTTAACTGATCCTCATCTAAAGGGGCTTTCCCAGGGTGGCGGTACTTGCACTAGATAACGATGCAGTTTCTCAGAGTGGCGGTACTTACACTGGAGAGACTTGACTCCAGAGGAGTGTTCCCAGGGTGGCGGTACTAACACTGGTTCAACTAGTCTGTCTGTTGCTTGGCTTGGCCCGCTATAGCTATGATGATTTTATTGCTGAATTGCAATAAACATCCGCCGAATCGGCAATTAAATTAATAAAGTTGAATACCGGGCCCTCCTTTCCTAAGTAGCTGTAGTTGACATAATATAACTCCAACTCAAGAATTGCACCTGTTTGTTACAGCTGTGGGAAAACAGGACATACTGCAACAGTATGCAGAAGCCAGCCTCAAAGGAACAAATCGTATATGCCACGAAACAACAAAAACAATCCAGGTTGCTTTGTTTGTGGAAAAGAGGGTCACTACGCAAACACCTGTACAATCCCAAACGAGAAGGGATGGAAATATTAGGAGCCCCTGCTATCCTAACCCTGGGGAAGACCAACAACATAGGAATCTTGCACATCACAATAATTAGAATAAATGATGAATACATGTCAGCAATCGTGGATACAGGAGCACAAGTAACGTTCTACAAAGAAGTTCAATCAAAGAGGAACTAACAAGAAATGATGACACGGTTCTAGTTACTGCAGGGGGACACCAGATAAAAGTTTTGGGAGACATTGAAGTTCCGATAGAAATACCAGGAAGTCAAAAATAGAAGGGCATACTAAACGCCAAAGTGATTTCATGATTAACACAACCAATAATCCTAGGCATGGAGTTTTTGACAAAAAATAACGCTATCATAGATCTCCCATGGAAAAAACTGACTCTGAATGGTCAGCATGAGGTACCCCTAAGAACGAAAAAATCAACCTGTCAGGTCTGGTCACAACAAGACAGCGAATAAAACGGGAGAGCTTATACTATATACCTCAAGAGATAAACAAGAGAATTCAATGCTCTTTCTAATGATATATAATAGTAGTTATTTCGCTCAAATTCTATTGAAGATATGGGCAATTATTCATGAGCGTGTCAAGTTTTCAGAGACAAAAATTGAGATTTCCTTTAGGATTTTTTCTCTCATTATAATTCTCAAATCTAACTGATCTGAGAGTCGTTTCTGACTAATTTGAACTCGCTTCATCGATTTCTGAAGTCAAAATTGAGAAAAATTTAAAAATAAAAAATTTCAATTTTTTGCACTTTTTTCTAAGGGTATCCCCTTTGGATTTTTATTTTCAAATCTTCGAAGCTCGATATCATGGTAACCAAAAGCGGTACCGAGACCAAATTTTCAGGGTTTGTAGTTCTTGATAAGGGCTTTCAGATGGTATTTAGTTGAAATCGCTAGCGTTTATAGTTTTTGAGAAAATCGAGTTTGAAGTTTTGGACAAAATTTTGAGTAAAGTTAAAATTTGAAGTTCCATTGCTTATGAACCCGTTGAGGTACTAGAACCAATATAGAACAGTTTTGAAGAAAATTTAATGCCCTTTCTAATGATATATAATAGTAGTTATTTTGCTCAAATTCTATTGAAGATATGGGCAATTATTCATGAGCGTGTCAAGATTTCAAAAAATTTCCAGAGACAAAAATTGAGATTTCCTTTAGGATTTTTTCTCTCATTTTAATTCACAAATCTAACTGATCTAAGAGTCGTTTCTGACTAATTTAAACTCGCTCTATCGATTTCTGAAGTCAAAATTGAGAAAAACTCAAAAATAAATATTTTCAATTTTTTGCACTTTTTTGTAAGGTACAGTTGTGTTGTGAATAGAACTTAATGCTCTTTCCAATGATACATAATTGTAATTAATTTGCTCAAATTCTATTGAAGATATGGGCAATTATTCATGAGCGTGTCAAGATTTCAAAAAAATTCCAGAGACAAAAATTGAGATACCCTTTAGGATTTTTTCTCTCACTATAATTCTCAAATCTAAGAGTCGTTTCTGACTAATTTGTACCTGCTCTATCGATTTCTGGAGTCAGAATTGAGAAAAATTCGAAAATAAACTTCAAAGAGCACATTCACA